TTTTGACGCCACCTCTGTTAAGATAACAGTACACCTAAGTGTTTAAGCTAAACAAATTCACTGAATGTTCAAGTGAGGGGGGGTTGGTCCATGGTAAGTGGCCCCCGATGAGGGAGATGCTAGTGATTATTAGGAGTAAACGAACATAGACTTAATAAATAAGTTAAAATCTGTTTCACTCGGACGCGAGGTCGTGACTGCTTGTGGTCGGCAGCGAGTGGCACCCGCAGAGCTGCCTGACCTGGCTTGAGGGCGGCTGTGTGGGTGCCGGTTGTGCCAGCGTGTCACCGGGTAATTTCAGCTGAATCCGTCTGGATCGGCAACCCGTAAAAGATGTCCACACCGACCTGGAACGCCACATCCAGTGTCCCTCTCGCTATTGCTGTGGATACCTGTCGCACGCCTACTGCGGTTATATTAGCGACCCAGAAAATATTCAGTGGGAAATAATTCCCTGCATGGCGCATGGTAGTGTTGATGCACCATCACGCTCGATCGTCAACAACTGCGCTTAGATCAGCCCTTGCTCAATGACTGATGTGCACACAGACAGGCACAGGTCCATACACTCACGTGTTCAGATCTCCCTGTAATGCCACGGGGGAGCATGGGAAAACGTCATAACATCACGTCACACTACTCGCGTCACACCGTCTCGCACCTCTCACACCACACCACTCATCTTACGCCACTCCTATCGCACAATTCTAAACTCGCATCTCTCATCTCACAGCTTGTGCTTCACACCACTCTTGCTGCTCACTTTTCTTCAGCACTCTCCACCAAACCGCAGCCCACCAGCACTATAATCTTACTCCACGCTCATCTCACTCCAGTAATCCTTTACAACTTTTCTTAAACCACTCCCCTAACACCACTCATTTCACAACACACTAACCTCGCACTGCTACTGAGCTCACACTACTCTGTAAGTATTGTTGAAGGCGTCTAACTTGGGTACGTTAAAGTTTACGGTCGTACGCGAGGAGCGAATGTTGGCGTTTGCGCGAATGTTTTCTAAGACCACGTAATGGAATTGTGTTCACGGCGGTTGGCGGTGCCACCGGTGTCACGAATCACAGCTATCCGGGCCGGAGTTTGTAAATTGCCCTCGCCAGGTATGACCGGAGCAAGTGATGTGTAGCATGCATCCAGCCTGTATCGTGAAACCCAAGGTTTCGCAGACATCACTCCTCACGACCCACTTCGGTCTGCTTTTACACGCTTTATCGGCTCCGTTCGAACATACAAGTTGAAGCCGTTGATGCGCTGCACGTGCCCGATGATGAGTAGACAAGCCCCAAGCGACGTAGCAAGAATCGAGTGTCTAAATCGCTTGGGCAAGACGTGGACGCGAACGTGTTCATTGCTACCGTCGGGACGTGTGCAGCGTGGAGTCGGTCGATTGGTAATCGTAGCAAGGCAGAACGGCGTGTGTCGTGAGAACCGGACTGTGGATGAACCTGGCACGTGCTCCATGCATGCAGTTGCTCCTGGGCCGTGTGGTTGTGCCTCTGGCCCCCTCCCACCCCTCCAGCTGCTGCACTTGCATCCGTGAACTTTAGGGTTGCCACCTTTAGTACAAACCAAACCCGCTGATATATTTAAAGGTTAAACAATACCGGTACAAGAGCTGCGTGCAAATCAGTTCCTGCTGCCACCCGGACACAGATGCCAACTCTCAGACTTGTACCGAGGGGGCAAACCCGGAGAGGTGGCAACTCTTTCAGCTGTTTATGCGCGATACATCGGCCATCGTCGTGTTGCTGAACAATGCGCGCGCATGTTTAAGTATTTTTATGCTCTCCGCCTATCGGGGAGTGAGGTATAAATCGAGGATTTTGGAAGGGGTGTGGGGGGGGTCCCGTATAAATGTGAAGTGTCTTACACATAAATAAATTGGCGAGATGCGGCAATGGTGGTGGTAGTTTTTCATGGAAGTGCTGTGGAGTGGTGGTGCAACGTGTGGTGCGAGAGATGGTGTCTATTGATGGTGGTGGCGGTGCGATAGTGGGTACATGTGGATGGTGTGGTCATAGCGGGAGAGCAGGCCGCATAGAAAAACATTCGGGAGCGACTGATGTTCAGTTGTGTTGCCCCCTTCCGTATCTCACGGCTGGTGGAGATGGTTGAACAGCACGAAGCGGGAACACTTTATCAAAAGCAAGCCTCTGGGTTTGCATTCGTGTCTCTGCAACCGTGACGAAGAGATGCATCAGCCCACAAGCCACACAGACAAGCTTGGGAGGCAGCCAAGCGCAGAACGGGCGTCAATTTCTCAAGCTCTGCAGTCCTCTATATTCAGATATGTTTAGCCATTCAATGAGTATCCGTGTGTGAAGAAGCCGCAGTACCTGTAAAAAAGCCCACTCGTGGGATGTGGGGCTACACTCTCCCCGTGGTCTTCATTGCAAGGCCCGAGGGCCACTGGCGGCCCCTGGTAGCCTTTAGTGCGGCCACTTGACGCGCGGCCCGCGACAATACACAGCACGTGAAGACGCTCCATCAGCGTGCTGTCAAATCACAATGCTTTACAATGTGTGGCGGCCCTCGCACTGTCTTCACGGTGAAAGTGGCTCCCCCCTCTGGAAATGAGTGAGAAACACCGCTCTGTCCCGTTCACAAGGGACGTGTGATGTTAGTCCGCACTTTGTTGCACCGCCTTCTCCTGGCAAGCCAGCGGCACGTACTCGACTTCCACAGAAAGGGAGTTGCGCGATGTGTGCGCGTGAACCACCAACCCTCACCGCTTTACGGGGCCTGCGCGGCCACCGGCCGGCTCCGTAAGGGCGTCTCGTGCGTGCCGAGTCGCTGAGCAGAGCACGAAGAGGGAGACGGGGAAGTGGGTAACTCGGGGCCGCAGCTTCGCTTGGCGCATTGGAGACACTTACGAACTACGAACTACGTTTATTGCAGCAGGTAATGCCCACCGAGCTATGTCGCCCTTTTTCAGAAGCGACCTGGCCATCACAAATGATGCCTCGACGAGGCGACTGATCACTTGGAAATCTATAACAGCCAAATACTCTAAGCGCGTGTTCAGTAATGTGGAGGGGGAAACCGAGGGATCCGGAGAAAAATCAACAAGGGAGGAGAGACACGCAAACTGCAGACATACAGGCGTTAGGGTCCGTGTCGAACCCACGACCTCCTGTATACCGGGCGATGCAGTAAACATCTCGGGTGGAACCAACTCCAAGTGGTGACGCTGGCTCTGGTGGGTCTCCTCGCCCATTGCTCAGCGAGAGATGGGCGGGGGGCATCTCCAAGCCCCCCCTCCACCCTCTCCCCGTGATGAAGAACGACCCATGGCGAGAGACGTCACAGTGATCGCTGCAAGCGGTGTAGTGTATTTTATACGCTAGGGGGCAGCTCTCTCCCGTGCTTTGTCCGTCGAGCGTCCTGAGAGAGACGCCCACGTGATGTGGCATTCACGGCGAGGCGTTTGATCGCTGGGAGACCGGGCAGAGACCACCAATTCACTACACTTGAGAACTCGGTTTCATCGCAACGCCGTCTATGCGAGTCTATGGGTCTCTGCGAGTCTATGGGTCTCTTTGCGAGTCTGAAGGTCTCTATGTGAGTCTGGATCTCTATGCGTGTCTGTGGGTCTCTGCGAGTCTATGGGTCTGTGCGAGTCTATGGGCCTCTTTGCGAGTATGAAGGTCTCTACGTGAGTCTGTGGGTCTCTGTGCGAGTCTATGGGTCTCTGTCGGTCTATGATCGCATATCCCAAACGCCAGTCCTCGCGACCTCCAACCACACTACAGATTTCCGCATTTACCAATTTACCCCCCATTCACATTACTTCGTTACGCGCTGCACGCGCCCGATGATTGTTAAACACGTCCCACGTGACGCGCTAAGAAAGTTACGTCGTCTGCGTCGCGTGGAACACGTGTACACACACATGCACACTGAGATCTCGGTGTTAATTTGAATCGGCTCTATTAACACAGAGGGCGGTGTCAAAATCGACTCCTATGGAGGAGGCTCATGAAGGATGCGCCGCTACTCGGCAGTGGGAGGCAGTCGCTCTCCAACAACAACGGAGGGCGGAGGTGAAACGCTCACAACAACGAGCGGAGCCACCTGGCGGACAAACCCAAGCGAGATGGCAGAGTGGGGTGCACAACCCATGGCACCTGCGTCTGTCCCGTGACCTGTCAGCGAGCCTTCAAGACCTCAAAGTACACCTAACCTGGCACAAGCGCTGTGGTGACGTCATTGCCGCTCAGTGTCGAACGGCGGCTTGCATATTGGTGCGCATGTGTGTCTGTGTCAGTGTGTGTGAGCTCCTCCGGCAGTCAAGGCTGCGGTGGCTGGGTCATGTAACCCGCATGCCCAGCCACCGCATGCCAAAACAGCTTTTGTTCGACGGGATCGAGGGGGCTAAACGGGCGCGGCACGGGCTAGAGAAGAGATGTAGTGATGTGGTACAGGAGGACGTGGAGCTGAGTGGACTTGCCGATGACTGGTACCAGCGGTGTCAAGATCGGCCTCTGTGGAGGAGGCTCGTGAAGGACGCTACTGGGAAGTTGGAGGCAGTCGCCCTCCAACAACAATGGAGGGCGGAGGAGCGACGCTCACAACAACGAGCGGAGCGCCGGGTGGCTAAAGCAGAGCAGGTTGGCACAGTAAGGGGCACGGGTGGTGCATCAGCCAGTCATCTCGGTCATCTCAGTCAGTCGACCCGTGGCACCTGGGTCTGCCCCGTGACCTCCTGTCAGTGGGCGTTCGACACTCCACGTGGCCTTAAGGTGCACATGGCCTGGCACAAGCGTCGTGGTGACGTTACCGCCACTTAGTGGCGAATGGCGGTTGTTGTTGTATGTGTGGGTGCGTGTCTGGCTGTGTCGATGCGCGAGCGTGTGCGCACGTGTGTATGTGGGTGTGTGTGGGTGTGTATGTGTGTGTGTCACTGAGCCTCCCCCCTATATAAAACACGCGAGTCGCTATCGTCGCTCGCCACTTGACACCTGCTCCGCCAGCACAAGCCCAGAGCGGGGGAGCGCGGCAGGAGAGGAGGGAGCGAGCGAGCGAGGAGCAGAGAATAGGAGGAGGAGGAGGAGGGAGAGGCTCCCGTTCCGATATGGAGCGGGAGTTGCGGCTGGGTCGCTTCGGTAGAGAACTCGGAACGCAACAGCGGTAACTACGATGCAATCATTCATCATCATGAATCATCATCTTAAATAACCATCATGATCATCAATAATGATCATCAATCATCTACAATTATCAAAATCATCATCGATAATCAATTATCATCATAATCGTGATCATCAATCATCATCATCAGTTACGATAATTAATTATTAACTGCAAATCATGTCGTTATTATTAAAATCGTTATAAGCAGCAATATTACTACTACCATCATCACCATCAGCAGCATCGTTATCACCGTCAGCGAAATAATCATCATAAGCATCATCATCATCATCATCATCCCTCCTCCATCAGTTGCCTAGCCTGCATCCATATAATAATATTTAACATCTCGATAAACCCCACCACCATCATCATCACCATCATCGTCGTCCTCTGTAACATCCTGGCAAGGAGTGGAATGTGATGTGATGAGATTTGTGATGGGATGTAATGGGATGGTATTGGATGGAGTCCGATGGAATTGGAATTAACGTGACGTATAGGAAGGATTCGTTGATGGGATGGGTAGGGATGCGTTGGGATGATGAGGTGAGAGATGTGATGCATGGATGGTAAGGAATGATTGGTGGAGGATGCATGTGATAGCATGATGTGGTTGAGAGATGTGATGAGATGCGTTGCGATGATCGGCAGTGGACATCTGGGATGTAATGTCGTTATGGGATGATGCCTGCAAGGAGCTGCAGGGCTACGCATTTCGTCAGACGCGGGGAGGACGAGTCCATGGGCTTGTGTTTGATTTTATTTCTCTTCGTGTGTTCGTCTATCTGTGTGCCACGTGCACGTGGTCAGGTGACCTCTGTCCCCGGGATTGACCCCCCGGTGACCTCTATCACCATGAGGCTCGCGCTCCTGGAGATCGCGTTGCTCCAGGTGCCCTGCCTCTTCTCTCACCCAGGTGCGCTCCTCCTCCTCCTCCTCTTCACCTCGCTCTCACCACCTTACCTCCCCACTCCTTCTCATCCTCCACCTCTTTACCTGCGCATCTCCTCTTCATCACCTCGACCTCACCACCTCCTCACAGCTTCCGAACCTCACCTGCCCTTCCCCCCAGCCTTCCTCGCCCTTCTGAGCATCGCGTGTCCTTCACCTCACCCGTCCATCTCCTGAGAGTCATCTGCAGTCGACCTCGCCTCGTCCCACTCCGCCCTCTCCCCACGTCGCTCCTCACCTGGGGCTGTCCCCCTGCTAGGTTTGTGCACGGGTATAGTTACCCCCACTTCCCCCCCCCCACGTTAATCCGAGATAATCGTGCAATAAAAATCACTCGGCAAACTCGGCGCGACTCCTTACCATGTTTGTCGCTGGACGTATTTTTCTTTACACATCCCATCAGCTCCACAGCCTTCTGGGAGCGAGTGCAGACGCGCTCGCTGGCAGCGCTCGCCCTGATCGGCTGCGAGAGGCGACGCGGGCGAATATTCGTTTTTGTTTGCGAGGCGGTCACGGTGAAGACGCGACATGTTTATATATGGATCCACGTTGTGCTGTAATTGTATCACCGGCGTGCCCCCTACCCAAATCACCCCACGCGTGCCCCCACGTCGGTTGGGGATGGGTGGCAGTGAGGGGGAGGAGAGAGCGAAGTTGGGGGGGGGGGTAGTTTGATGAGGGCTCTTCCGAATCAATCATCGTCAATTCGCCTCTTCATGATGCTCTCCTTTACGGCCTCTCCGCCTCCCGGGACATCCCTCCCCCCCCCGCCTCTTGCCCCCCCCCCCCCCCACGGCCCTCTCGGGCCCCCGACCCCACAGGGTGCCTGGCGGCCCAGGGCTGGTTCGCGAGGAAACTCCTCAAGGACCTGCTGCGTAATTACACGACCTCCCTGCGACCCGTGGAGAACACGGAGCGAGTGATGAACATCACCCTGCGCATCACCCTCTCCCAGATCATCGACATGGTGAGGACACTGGCACGGTGATGACATGTGCAGGGTCACGACGTGTGCAGGGCAAGGAGACTGTGGTAGGGCGTCACGACCTTCGCTCTGGATATCGACACGGGTTGAGGCCACTGGTATGGTAGCGGTAATGGAGGTGGTGAGGTCACTGAATCTCAAATCAATCGCAAGCTGAGGTTACCTTCTCGTTTACACGGAGCGGTCACTCCTCATTTCCACTCCCTCCTCCCCCCACCACCAAACCTCATCCTCTCCCCCACCATCACCTCCCTCCTCAACCCCCTCGCCACCATCACTCCCCCACTCCTCACTGACCCTTCGCTCACTCACCCCTCACCCCTTCCCCCTGACCCCCACCCCACTCACCCGCCACCTCCCGCCTACCCCTTCCCGCGCCCCCTCCGTCACTGCCACCTCACACCGCCCCATTCCCCCCTCCCACTCACCCCTCACCACCTGAACCTTTTATTACTTCTTCCTCTTCCACTCTCCCACCCGCACCCTTCCTCCTCCCCCTTCAAGCGCCGTACTCCCATTCCTCCCGAACTGACCACCCCACTCGCGACCCCCTCCCCCAGGACGAGAGGAACCAGATCCTCACGGCCTACCTGTGGATTCGCCAGATCTGGCAGGACGCGAACCTGCGCTGGGACAAGGACGAGTACGACGGCCTGGACGCCATCCGCATCCCCAGCGGCCTCGTCTGGAAGCCGGACATCGTGCTCTACAACAGGCAGGGGGCAGGGCAGCGTGATGGGGGCAGGGGAGCAGGTGGCTGGGCATGGCTAGGAGGGCAGGGGGGGGTTAGAGGGCAGCATGAGGGAGGCAGGGTCCCTGTGTGTGTTTGTGGTAGCGATGCTTTTGATGATATTGGTGATGATGGTGATGTTGTTAAAGGTGTTGCGATGCATTGCAATAGTCGTGGCGTGAGGGAATCAAAGCGTGAACCGGTTTCTCCGCGTGAGCAGCCGAGAGGATGGGACGTAGCCGAGCAATGCGCCATAATCGAAAAAGAAAAGCGACCTTGCCAGCTCTATGAATGTGCACCTCGAAAGTGACGACGGATTGCGGAACACCCCGAGAATTCTGACTTCCTGTACAAATCATAATCACCACCACCATCATAATCACCACCACCACCATCATCATCACCACCACCACCACCATCATCATTATTATTATTATCTCCCAAATCCATGACCCAAACCTTCAGCACCGCCGCCACCCGGCACCGGTCTACTGGGGCTGACCCCCACGTGACCCCCCCCCCCCCCACAGAGCCCGGCAGGCGCAATGTCACCACTTCCGATCAGCGCGCTTGGCTCCGTACGATGTTGATGTTGTTGATGTTGTCGCGCTCTGTTCTGATGTGGATGGCGGTGTTGTCGATGGTGAGTTTGTTGATGTTGTCGCGCTCTGTTCTGATGTGGATGGTGGTGTTGTCGATGGTGAGTGTGTTGATGTGGTCGCGCTCTGTTCTGATGTGGATGGTGGTGTTGTCGATGGTGAGTTTGTTGATGTTTTCGCGCTCTGTTCTGATGTGGATGGCGGTGTTGTCGATGGTGAGTTTGTTGATGTTGTCGCGCTCTGTTCTGATGTGGATGGCGGTGTTGTCGATGGTGAGTTTGTTGATGTTTTCGCGCTCTGTTCTGATGTGGATGGTGGTGTTGTCGATGGTGAGTTTGTTGATGTTGTCGCGCTCTGTTCTGATGTGGATGGCGGTGTTGTCGATGGTGAGTTTGTTGATGTTGTCGCGCTCTGTTCTGATGTGGATGGTGGTGTTGTCGATGGTGAGTTTGTTGATGTTGTCGCGCTCTGTTCTGATGTGGATGGCGGTGTTGTCGATGGTGAGTTTGTTGATGTTTTCGCGCTCTGTTCTGATGTGGATGGTGGTGTTGTCGATAGTGAGTTTGTTGATGTTGTCGCGCTCTGTTCTGATGTGGATGGCGGTGTTGTCGATGGTGAGTTTGTTGATGTTGTCGCGCTCTGTTCTGATGTGGATGGCGGTGTTGTCGATGGTGAGTTTGTTGATGTTTTCGCGCTCTGTTCTGATGTGGATGGTGGTGTTGTCGATGGTGAGTTTGTTGATGTGGTCGCGCTCTGTTCTGATGTGGATGGTGGTGTTGTCGATGGTGAGTTTGTTGATGTTTTCGCGCTCTGTTCTGATGTGGATGGCGGTGTTGTCGATGGTGAGTTTGTTGATGTTGTCGCGCTCTGTTCTGATGTGGATGGCGGTGTTGTCGATGGTGAGTTTGTTGATGTTGTCGCGCTCTGTTCTGATGTGGATGGTAGTGTTGTCGATGGTGAGTTTGTTGATGTTTTTGCGCTCTGTTCTGATGTGGATTGTGGTGTTGTCGATGGTAAGTTTGTTGATGTTTTCGCGCTCTGTTCTGATGTGGATGGCGGTGTTGTCGATGGTGAGTTTGTTGATGTTGTCGCGCTCTGTTCTGATGTGGATGGTGGTGTTGTCGATGGTGAGTTTGTTGATGTTTTCGCGCTCTGTTCTGATGTGGATGGTGGTGTTGTCGATGGTAAGTTTGTTGATGTTTTCGCGCTCTGTTCTGATGTGGATGGCGGTGTTGTCGATGGTGAGTTTGTTGATGTTGTCGCGCTCTGTTCTGATGTGGATGGTGGTGTTGTCGATGGTGAGTTTGTTGATGTTTTCGCGCTCTGTTCTGATGTGGATGGTGGTGTTGTCGATGGTGAGTTTGTTGATGTTTTTGCGCTCTGTTCTGATGTGGATGGCGGTGTTGTCGATGGTGAGTTTGTTGATGTTGTCGCGCTCTGTTCTGATGTGGATGGTGGTGTTGTCGATGGTGAGTTTGTTGATGTTTTTGCGCTCTGTTCTGATGTGGATGGCGGTGTTGTCGATGGTGAGTTTGTTGATGTTGTCGCGCTCTGTTCTGATGTGAATGGTGGTGTTGTCGATGGTGAGTTTGTTGATGTTTTCGCGCTCTGTTCTGATGTGGATGGCGGTGTTGTCGATGGTGAGTTTGTTGATGTTGTTGATGTTGTTGTTGTTGCCGTAGTGCGGATGACCGCTTCACGGGCTCCATGGAGACGAACGTGGTGATCCAGAACAACGGGCAGATCACGTGGGACTCGCCCTCCATCACCAAGAGCTCGTGCCGGGTACCATCAGCTCCCCCGTCAGCACCATCATCGTGATTACCATCATCACCACATTCACCACCACCATCATCAGCACCACCATCATTGTAATTACCATCATCACCACATTCGCCACCACCATCATCATCAGCACCACCATCATCACCATGTGCACGGGAATCACCAAAGCCATCACCCTCCTCCCGAAAGTTTTATCAACATGTTTGGAATTTCTCCTTCACGGTATCCATCAGTGCACGGTCCCTATGAAAGGATTTCGCGTCCTTCGAGGAGAAAGGGTGGGCGGGGGGGGGGGGCGATGGAGGGGACGGGGGGGGGGCACGACCCACGGGTTGAGATCCACTGCCCTAACCCTGGATGTGGACAAAGCAGTGGCAGGCGCGGGGACACGAAGTCGCGCGAGGGGCTGGGTCACGCGACTGAGTCGCGGACCTGGGTTCACTCACATCCTCGTCCCCCTCCCCCCCTCCTACCCCCCCCCCTTGGCCCCACACCACGTCTGTGGGGCATCCCAGGTGGACGTGTCCTACTTCCCGTTCGACCGCCAGCAGTGCCGCCTCACCTTCGGCTCGTGGACCTACAACGGCAACCAGATCGACCTGCTGAGCGGCATGGACGGAGGGGACCTCTCGGACTTCATCGCCAACGTCGAGTGGGAGGTGCTGGGCATGCCCGCCGCCAAGAACGTCATCAAGTACGGCTGCTGCTCGGACCCCTACCCAGACGTCACCTACACCATCCTGCTCAAGCGCCGCGCCTCCTTCTACGTCTTCAACCTCCTGCTGCCGTGCGTGATGCTCTCCTTCCTGGCGCCGCTGGGCTTCTACCTGCCCGCCGAGTCGGGCGAGAAGGTGTCGCTGGGGGTCACGGTGCTGCTGTCGCTCACCGTCTTCCAGCTCATGGTGGCCGAGAGCATGCCGCCCTCCGAGAACGTGCCGCTCATCGGTGAGAGCTGCGCGCGGGGTCACGGGGGTTGTCACGGTGGTGCGGTGGTGGTGGTGGGGTCGTGGTGGTGGTAGTGGTGGGGGTGAGGTAATGGTGGTGAGGGGTTAGTGGTGGGGAGTGGTGGTGGTAGTGGTGGTGATGGTGGTTGTGTGATGTGTGTAGGTCAACTCAGCCTTAAATGAGTACCTGGTGCGGTGTGTAAACATCGCCACTGGGGAGACAAAGGCGGTCGGGCGTGGTGCTGGCCACCCACCCCCTCGTGTACCGTTCCGGCCTTCGTTAGGTGCTCGCTAACAGCACTTGCCCCTACAGTCTGTTAAGGCTATACGAAGGATCTTTGCGATGTGTGTTGGTGGTGTGGTTTTCTGGTTATGGTGTATTGGTGTCGACATGGTGGCGGTGAGACGTGTGGGGTGTATGGTGATCTGGCGTGATTTTGGGAGTGAGGATTCGCATCAATCCCTGCACCAACCCCTCTCACCACACCGATCCATCTCTGTTACATCACCCCCGCCCATCTCCTGCACCTCTACTCCACCCCATCACCGATCCGTTGCCCCCCCTCTCCCCGCACAGGCAAGTACTACATCGCCACCATGACGCTAATCACCGCCTCCACGGCGCTCACCATCTTCGTCATGAACGTCCATCACTGCGGGCCGGAGGCGCGTCCCGTGCCGCCCTGGGTCAAGTCGCTGGTGCTGGGCTACTTGGCGCGCATCTTCCTCGTCTACGACGTGGGGGAGAGCTGCTGGGACCGCGACGCCCCGGGGATCCGCGGCGGCGGGGGAGCCGACGGGGCCACCCCCGACACGGGAGCCGCTCGCCGCCACGGGCGGAGGAGACGCGGCGGTGGCGGCGGCGGCGCCGCATCCGCGCCGGCGCGCAAGGGGGAGGCCAACGGTGGCGTGGAGGAGCGGCGCGGCGCGGCCCCCCCGCGGCACACGGTGGTGGTGCGGCTCGAGGGCGCCGGAGCGGCCGGCGGGGCGGCTCCGTGCGCGACGCGCGCGGTGCCCCAGCCGGACGAGAACAACGGATGGCGCGGACGCGACGAGGAGGACGAGGAGGACGAGGAGGTGGTAATGGGTTTCTCGTCCGACGACGACGGCGGTGGTGCTGGCGAAGATCGCGATGAGGATAGGCAGGGGGAGGATGGAGGGGACGAGAGCGAGGAGCTGCGCACGCGGCGCCGCGTGGCCGAGGGCGTGGAGGCGATCGCGCGCTGCTTCCGCGAGCAGCGCGCGGGCCAGGCGCGCGTCTTGGAGTGGCGTCGCGTAGCGCGCGTCATGGACCGCTGCTTGATGTGGCTCTTCTTCCTCATGGTCTTCCTCATGAGCCTCATGATCGTGGTCAACGCCGCGTGAGGGAGCGCAGCCGCGCGCGTCGTACGCGTGCCATGGTCATCGCCGCTTCGGCCGCTGTTGTTGTTGTCGCTCTTGTTTTTGTTGTTGCGCATGAAGCGGCGACGCTGTCGTTCGCCTGGCTCTGCTGGTCCTGGCTGTGGGGGGTCGCGTGGAGATGAGCCCGATGGGAGCGGTGCACAGCGTGGCGGTGGCGGTGGTGGTGTTGAAGATTTTGGTGATTAATTTGGGAGGTGATGATGATAACGATGATGGTTGGTACAGGGAGTCGGGATTCTCGGGGTGCTCCGCAATCCATCGTAACGCTCGAGGTGCACATTCGTAGAACTGTCAACATGGTCGCTTTGCTTTGCTTTGTTTTTACTTGACGGAACATTTGCTCGGCTACGTCCCATCCTCTCGGCTGCTGACACGGAGAACCCATGATCAGTCATCATCACAAATTACCATCCTCATCGATAATAAATAATCGATCATCGTTAAGCACGCTTGCAGAGACACCCGGAGACCCCCCATTATCCTTGACCTAACGGCTTCTAAAGCTCCAGCCCTCACTTTCTCGGGCCCACCAATCATCAGGCGCGTGTCGCGTGTAACGACTTAATCTGCATGTGAAATACGAATGGGGCCCGCTTGGTATGTCATAGGTGCCACTCCGTGAGAATCCGTGTCCCCGATATCGTCACGATCTGTTGTGTCAGTACATGGGGGAGAGGGTGTCTCAAGGATATGAAATTCACCACGTGCCGCTGTTACCGCTAATGACGTGGAAGGCGACCTCATTCGTGCCGCGGGCGAGGGGGAGGTGGATGAGAGGTGGGGGCTGGGGGCTAATCTCCCTGTGCTTTTGATCTTCATCCAATAAATGAGAGGGCGCACGGACGCCACGAGTCCGCCGCGTTCATCTCGCGTCTGTGGCGAGGACGACTCCGTGTGGGTTTCATCCAGCCCGGGACTCCGGTCCCCGGGAAGTGAGCGGCTCAGTGAGTCTCCCCCGGGTCAGCGCGAGTCGGACCGATTGTTACATCACCCGCGAGCTGATGTTAGCCGGGACTCGAACTCGTGGTTGCCGGGTTCAGTAGCGCAGTGCGCTAACCGCTGCGCCACCACTCGACCCATACATACAACAAATTAAACAAAAAATTGTAAGTCCTTACACGATGACTTGTCACATTCCTGCAGGGAGGGATCCCTACAGGGATCCTTTTAGGGGCCGTCCATAAATGACATCACGCACCTGGGGGGGGGGGGGTCATACATTTCTGACGATGTGTGACGAGGGGGGGGGGGTGAGAAATGTGACGTCACATCAAAATGCGCAACTTTAAATAAATATAGACAACACGTTCTACTTAGTTAAATAGACTTTTTAATAAATGTTTTGTCCTAAAACATCAGAATGCAGCGCCACATTAAATACGCACTACAATGATAATAGTTTAAAGCGATTTGAAGGATGTTTAATTTTTTTTGGGGGGGGGACAGAGCTTTGTGACATCATATTTGAGGAGGGTCTGACTTTTTGTCTACGCCGTGTGACGAGGGGGGGGAGGGGTCAAAAATCGTCCAAAATCGCGTGACGTCATTTATGGACGGCTCCTTGAGGAATCCACTGGGGCTATGCACTTTTAAATCATCGAGATTGAAAACTCATTTCATTAAAGCTGCTTTTTGTGTTTAGTTTATTGTCCTTCCCCCGTACCTCCGATTAGCGCGGTTGGCTACGTACGGTGCGAAAGAAGTTCAACATACATACGACCCCTGCAGGGAGGGGGCTCCTCTGTGGGAGGGGGATGCAGCAGCGATGCAGGGCGGGTCACCACGTGGCTGGGTGACGGCCCCGCAGCAGGCGGCCGGGTGACCGCCCCTGGGCCGCCGGGCTACGGAGAGGAGCGGGTGGGGGGGGGGCAACTTAGCGAGGGCAGCCCCCCCCCACTCCACTCCCTACACCACCATGGCACGGCTCAGCCACGCGACGCCACTGGGGGGGGGGGGGTGAGGTCATTGTTGGGACGGCGTTGGGGGGAGCAGCGGTACCGGGAGCTCGCCACCGGCCCGCCATTCGCGTGCCCCCTACGAAGTGGGGTGGGGGGCGGGGGTCCGAGAGACGCGACAGCACCGTATGGTCTGGCGGCGGCAGACGGGGTCCCTAATCCGATGGAAGCAGGCACAGGCCCTTCCACCATCCTCCCGTAATCCCCGCGAGAGGGGGGAGACAGCGGATGAGGTGGGGGCGGATGAGAGGGGTACGTGGGGGGGCAGTATCCCCCTACCACCCTCCCCCTTCTTAAGGGGCATACCCCTTCGACTCCTTCCCTCCCGAAGGCCGGTGAACCGAAACGTCGACGTTAGTTGTAATTCCATCAAGCCGGGTACTCGCCTAAGCGATAAATGAGCAGATTGCCGCTTGAAAGTCAAATATCTCCGCTGCGAGCAACAGGTTGTGCAACTGCTCGCCACTGGTTGCATGCCCACGCGGCTGGGCGAGACGTGCGGTCTCCATTAAATATTTACAGAGATGCCCCCTCCCCCTCGCCATCCCCGAGAGGTCGCGAAATCAGCGGTCGCTTTCTCATTACAGAGGCAACGCGAGTTACCGCCGCAGCGTCACAGACACGGGGCGATATGAAGTACGCGTACAGACACGCGTACTTACACACACAGCCAAAGATCCCCCGTATCGCCTCTTTACAGCAAGTGCTGTTAGCGAGCACCTTTAAAGGGTATCACGGCAAACGTGTGGGTGGGTGGCCAGCACCACAGACACAAAGACACACAAACACAAAGATAAAGACAAAGATACCCCGGATAGCCTGAACGTACTATTGGGGCAAGTGATGTTAGCGAGCACCAAAGACAAAGACACACGCGCACACAGCGAGACACACACGCACGAGACGCAACAATTGAGACATAATTCCCGCACGGGGCTGTAACCCTACGCACCGCGCGCTCTCAGAGTCGAGGCGCCCCGTGATTACCGGCGACAACCTTTGATCGACAGCTCGGCAGCAAATGCAATATGTTGTGGTCGACAGAGTGAGGCGCTCCGGGGATACTTGAACCCCCCCTCCCCTCCCCCCATGAACCTCCTAAACCGCATCGCCCCCACCCCCAATGACTCCGCTACTACTCAGGGCTCTGCCGTGATAAAAATACCTCCTCGCTAAATCGAGAGGAGCACTCGACTGGACAGAGGAGGCAGCAGCCATGCGCAGTGATCGCGCCATCAATAATGCACCGGCGGGGCGGCTGCACCCTCGGACCCAGAGGTCGCGACGTCGCGGTTCAACTCCTGTACCGGACTCAGGGCCACTTAGGGCCACCACCCTCCCCGCTCGCGCGCGACCGAGCCACCTACCCCCTTGACGATGAGAATGGAATCAGCTGGTGAGTAGGTGCAGGCATGTGTATATAATATACTGGCTAGATATGTTTAATATAAAAAAGCATTTGGAGTTTGGCACAATCTTGGCGCATTGAGGCCAAAATGAGGGCGGCACACAAATGGGTTCCTCTCTTTTTTAAAATCTCCCTCGAATAGCGTCACGGGGCCGTTAGGGTCACAGTACAGCAGACGGCGCCGAATTAGTGGTGGTTAACGTAATCAGTGGTGGTTAACGTAATTAGTGGTGGTTAACGCGCACGCGCAGTGTTAACCCGGGCGGCCGCGAGCACGAACCGCACACCTCCATCCGAGCGTCCCGCGTGCCCACGGCTCGGCCCGCGTCACCGCCCAGACGTGACACGAGAACGGGATCTGGTTCTCGGCACTCCGTCTGTAAGTGCTCTGATAGAAGCGAAACACCGTCACGTTCACCGCCCCGAGCCCACCACCTGTGCCGCGCTGGGGACTCTTCGGCTTACTCGCAGTTGGGCGCCTGAAGCTTGGATTAGAAGCTCGGCTCTGATCAAATGACGGCCCTGACACGGCCCTTTAGGAAGCCACCCGGCGCTTAAGCAATCCGTGTGGGTCGTGTTGATGATCAATGCCCTTTATCGCGGCGCTCCGCGTTCTCACGCGATGCCCCGTGTCCCCGATTTAGCAACACGCAGGGGTGACCCCCACTCACATCCTTGAGAATCGATTCACGTAGTTCCCCCCGACGGACCCCACTACCCTCTTCGCTGGGGAGGGGGGGGGGGAAGTGGAGGTCATCCCCGGGGTCATCCCCCCAACCCTGCCCCCATTCGCCCACGGGGAGTTTGACAACATTCGTGTGATTCACCAACCGTCGATGCTGCCTCCGCAGTTCTGGATGATCACAAGCCGTGTGCTACAAATGAGGGCCATTACCCGAAACGTCAACTATTGTATATTATTATGTTGTGTTGTATTGAGTGTTTGCGTAGCGCAGTTCAGCGCTAACCACTGCGCCACCGATCCTCACTCTGGAGAACCATGCGCACGCGCGCGGCAGAGAACGTCCTAACAAACGCGCACACGCGCACACAAAGATCCCCCGTATAGCCTTAACAGGCTGTTGGGACAAGTGCTGCGCACACCGCCCCGGGGTGGGCGGTGTGGCTGAGTGGGTGGGGGGCGGTGTGGCTGGGTTGGTGGGGGGGGGGCGGTGTGGCTGGGTTGGTGGGGGGGGCGGTGTGGCTGGGTTGGTGGGAGGGGGGCGGTGTGGTTGGGTTGGTGGGGGGGAGGACGGTGTGGCTGGGTTGGTGGGGGGGGCGGTGTAGTCGGGTTGGTGGGGGGGGCGTTGTGGCTGAGTTGGCAGGTGGTGGTGGTGGGGCCGCCACGAGGCTAAGCTTGGGGCTGCAGCAGTGGTTGAGGGTGGGGGCGGTGGGGGGCCACGTCTGACGGGAGGGAGTTGTGTGGGGGAGGGTCAGTGTGGGGGGGGGGGGGTCAGTGTGGGGGGGGGTCAGTGTGGGGGGTCTGCAGATTGTGAGTGAGCGATGGCTCTGGGCGCTAATTGTCTCGGTAACGCGCGCGACGTGCTCGCCCCCCCCCCCACCTCCGTCTTTGTTTCCAAAAATAATCTGTGGCAAGCAGCGAGTGCCGGCAAACAACGAGGGGAGACTGAGCGATGGTGATGATCAAGTAAATAAATAAATACACAGACAACACTGTACCCCCCCCCCCTCTCTCCCTACTCATTGTGAACCGGTCCTGGGCCTTCGCCCCTCGGTCGACTCGGCCTCAATTGCGTACCTGGTTCAATGTGTTAACATCGTCGCTAGGGAGACAAAGGCGGCCGGGCGTGGTGCTGGCCACCCATCCCCTCGTGTGCCGTGCCGGCCTTCATAGGTGCTACTCACTAACAGCACTTGCCCCTACAGTCTTAGGCCAGATGGGGATAATCTTTGCCTTTAGTGATAGGTGTGATGACGAGTGGCGGCCTTAATAGGTGCTCGCTAACAGCACTTGCCGCAAACAATTCTGTCAAGGCAGTCGCGTAACTCGCGTGGGGCAGGCAGGGGGTGCTCTGCCCCCCCCCCCCACTCCCTTAGTGGGGGGGGCAAAGCTACGATATGTGTGTTCAACAACAACAGTAGTGTAATAAAACAACAACAGCAGTGTAAGAGAACAACAACAACAGCAGTGTAAGAGAACGACGACAACACTTATGTAACGATGTGATGAGAGGCAAGAGCAGCCACAATAGCCGAGTTTCGACCGTGCGAGATAAATCAAACATTGGGGGCCCCACCTGATCGATTTCCGCATCCCCTGAGCTGATAATGTTGTCACTACGCCGCTGTGTCAAGGCGATATGTGTGGGGGCATCGTTTCCATTCCCTTTAATAAAGTCTCGGACTGCTCATAACTACAGGGGCAGGGTCGCGGTAGTCAATACCCAATAAGCTTGGACGTGACATGCATCCCGTTATTAATTCATAGTGGCCCGTG